TTCCATTCAGACTAAAAATATGAAGTGTTTTGAGAGGCCTTCTCAGGGTCCTAAGCCAATCGATTGCGATACTTGCCACATCTAGGCTGACTAGGCTATCTCTATTGATTTTAAGAGGTACACATTCCGCTTAACTAATTGTCACCAAGTCATTTTGTTGCAATTTCTGTATGAAATATTCAAATTTAAATTACTGAAATGTAGAATAAGTTGTTTCTTTTGACTACGATTGCCAATGAGTCAGAAGAACGTATTTTTGTATGACTCTCTAGTTTAGGGCTAGGCCCGTGTTCATGCGACGAGGCTATGCAAACATATTCAACTTTTCTATATGTTTATTTCACTCCATTTCAAATCTAACAGGTCAAAAGTCTTGACTTTTATTTAAAGAAATGTTTATCAAGGCTTTTCGATAAGGAGGAGGATGAGGAGTTTTAATACTATCAAAATTTTTTCGAGTGGAGGCTTATTATTGTGTAAAAAAACTGGCACCTAGCGTTTGTCTTGACCCACTATAACCGCTTTGTGTTGGTGACTAATTCGGTCTATTACAATACGCTCTTTGCAGGCATGATGTCAGAAAAGCCAAAAAGAGAAGGTATGACCCACTTTCACATTACACTGTAGATATTTTTCATAGATATTCCATAGAGCATTGCGATGACATGTTGACAGAATGCGATGCCGCGAATATTATGATGCAATTAGTCTTTCAGCTGAAAAACATATTAAGGAGCCGAAAGCAAAGCAAACAGTAAATTTAACGAGAAAATTTTGTGAAATTGCACGAATTGTTTGCATGAAAAAAATCACACTGTAACAGTTGAGCCTACACAATTAAAATTCTTTGCACTGTGTACATCATTACCGAAGGTACTAGTTGGCTTGAAAAACTAAATACAACTCAATAATTTACAGGACAATCATAATTTGAAAGACGGGTATTAGATAGATTAGATGAGAGAATCTGTAAAATGTACTATTCTATAACTCAGGCTTTTTTGGTTCTTATTTTTCTTCTTATACTGTTAAGTCTGCCATATGTTCTAAAGGACCTCTTAAATCATTAATGTCAGGAAAAATATTAAGTGTTTTACACTCTGCATTAAAAACAGCCTCCCTACTATGTAATCTTCTAACATGCAAATAACAGTATAACATAAATCCACTGTTATTATTAAAAGCTTTTTGTTAAAGTGTAATTTAAACTAGAATTACTCTTTTTAGTTTTGAAGTAACAGCTTTTTCCAAACCATATAAATTTCCTTTTAACGTTTAAGTGTGTGCGAAAATTGTAAACATAATCACCAGACCTCCTTAACAAAAACAGACAAATTTTTTGAAATTTTATTTTGAGGTCATGCTACCTCTTTTAAAGTACATGACAAGACAAATATTATAATGATCAGCATGCAACATTCATCGCGCTCTTGAAATATTCTGCTAAATAATAAAATTATATTTTTATTTGGAAACTATGTTAAAATTCTACATTCAAGAAGTATCTATTTACTTGTGTCCTTTTGGAAAATCAGATGGTACCATACATCACAGAAGGAGTGCAATTAGAACACACAAAAGAACAAAAATTAAATTAAATTTATATCTTGCATCTAGCTAAAATTACTTTACGACCGAAGAAGACAAAAAAAAAAAATAATAAATCAAATTAAATTTTAAAAATTACTTAATAAAAAAGAAAATTTAAATTTTTAAATAATTTAAAAAATCAAATTAAAAAAAAAATTATTTTAGGAGTTTATAAGAAAATCACACCATGCCTATGGCTCCAATCTATTCTAAAAGAGACAATGGGCATTAAAAATAGATCCGCACTCTGACACATTTTGGGACCATGTAAGTATTTCAGATTTTTTAGATGATGAGTTTGGTTGCCATAGTAACTGAAGTACAAGTTTTCTTGTCACAAACATATACAATTTATATGATGCTATAGGCCTAAAACTATTTAACTATAAACTGTCTTATAAGATATTTTAGTCTATAGGATTTTGTTTGAATTATAGAAATCTAATGACATGAATAATTTTGCTCACAATTTGTCACTGTTTGAAATAGGTAAGAAATGTTTTTACAAATCTCTTCCTCTCAATCTCACTCTGAATAATACTTTCTTCACACACAAATTGAATTATGACTATTTAAACATGACTATACACACAAAATATGATATCAATATATAATTTATTGACACAACATTTGAAGCCTATTTGTGAGGCATCAAAGACTAGACTCTGGCAAGAACGTTGGATAAGGCTGCCTTCTGTTTATTTTTGAAAGGTCACAAAAAATATCAGTTATAAAGCC